GCTAAGTGGATCTCTGTCCCATTGGTTCACAGTCCCCATCGCTCCTTCCTTACCCTCTGATGGTTCATCCATAGCGTCTTTGGTCATTTAACCAATGACAGTAAAACCTTGTGAAAGCTGGAAACTGTATAAGGTGGAATCCTGTCAGAGAAGAAACACTGAAATATTTTCCACTAAAATGAGGGATGAAAAGTGGTAAGATTGTGCCCTGTCAGAGCAGGAAACGTGTGAGGCCCAGAAAAACACGACAGTCCCATTGCGATTTGGCTCTCCCAGGTGTCACTGTGTCACTGCTCGGGGCCCTTGTGATGCTCGTTGGCCCTGCTTCCTCTTGGAAGTGCTGGTCCTCGTCACTGTCCTTTGGTTCGGATTCCGCAGGGAGTCCTGCACCCCATACTTCAGCATCTGTTGCACTTGGCTTTTTCAAGCAGTGTTTTAAAGACAGGGCTAGCTCTGGTAACCAGTCCTTGGTCCCGAGCAGGCTGAGAATCCTCTTGCGTCCCTTCCTGTGTGGCATATGTGAGCCCCTTTCATTCCTCTCTTCCCAGTTGAGCCTTTAATCTTGACCTCTTGTGACTGTTCATCCACCTGTTCACCCATCCCCCTCCTTCCCTAAAGGTGGCTGTGATGTGCTTGATGGGTTGGTCTGGGTTTATGTTCTTCATGGTACAGAGTATCAGTAGTTTCTTTTGACATAATGCTTATGTTGATTTTTTCCTCTTGAAATCATTTAAGGTGAATTCATTGTGCTTGTTCCTTTCCCAGCCATAGGATCTGAATTTTGTTTCAGATAAGACCTTAACAAGTTGAAACTAAAATTTGCCAGAAAGTCTGGCCAGGTGCTGAGATTAAAGAAATACAGGAACTATAAATCTTTTCTCATTACCCTACCATCTTAGGGTATGGCCACTCATTTATAACATTGCAGGTAATTATAGTCTCTCTGTGTGTCCTTTACCCGTCAAGATTGAACATCATTAAGAAGTTAATAGCAGATGAAGTGGACTTTCTCCAGCATGTCACTCAACTTGACCTGCGTGACAATAAACTTGGTGATCTAGATGCTATGATTTTCAACAACATTGAAGTGTTGCACTGTGAAAGGAACCAACTGGTGACATTGAATGTCTGTGGCTATTTGCTGAAAGCCCTCCATGCCTCTTCTAATGGTATGTAACAGAGACCACGTCAGAGTTTCTCTTGGTTCCAAAGAATTTACCTGGCACCATCATCTCTGCCTCTCTTTGATTTTTCTTTCTTTGTTTTAGTAAAATAAGTGTCAGATTTTGCTAGAAGTCATAAATGCAGAATGCTGGTTTGGTGTATAAGAGAATCGAATCAAAAAGGAAATGTGGTACTTTTGTTGTTCCTAACTTGTGTTTTGTTGTTGTTGTTAATAACATGCTGTTTAGAGAAGTTCCTCCCTCTTTTGATTTGACTCTTGTGCTTAAAAGGAGAGGGAAAAATGAGCTGATTTTTGAACAGTTAGGCTAATAAATCTGGAAGCTTGATTAAACTTCGATTGTAAAGTGAAAGGAAGGTACATTTTGGACTCTTCAGGGTGTCCAGTTTCATGCTGCCCTAACAAAAGGAAGTTACCCTAACAAAAGGAATTTATCTTAGGGTAAATTTATATACCCACAGGGATTCTGTAAAGCAAGAGTCTTATTTATATAATATCTCTTCGGTATTTAAAAATAATAGCAGTTCCAAAAATAACAGATCATGTGGACATATGCTTGCTAAGGCGAGGATTTCAGTCCCCTGTAATTAAGGAACTGAATGAAGACAGTTGTTTACTACCGTAAAACAACGTGTGTTTATCAAGTACTTGTATGTACAGAGCAGTGCTTGAGCTGTAAAGAATAAGGGATTTTTTTTTTTTAATCATACTTGCTGTCATCTCATTGGAAAGACTAGCCAAACCTCCAGTAACTACAGGTCCTAGTGTAATCAGTTCGACTGAGCACTGGGGGGTC